CCGAGAAGTTTTAATTAACTTGTTTCAAAAACCTTTAAGCTTTCAACATAAAAGGTTCTGATATAAAAATCCTTTACTCTACATTATTTAAATCAATAAAATTTATCTAAATTTTTAAGAAAAAAAAAACAAAACAAATATTCTTCCATAAATAAATTCGATACTTTATTGCACAGTATAAAACGCCCTTATTTACATTTTGTCGAAAGTAATAAAGAAACAAAATGTTCATTTGATTTTTGTTTTATTGGTGTTTTTTTTTAACAAAATAGATCAGATAATCTTCAGAATATATTCTTAGCATTTCAACATGTTTAAAACAACTCGTATTTTAAACTATCTTATTAAATCTCAACCCCTTTGCATATCTCTCGGCAAACGAGACATTCCAGAAATTTACTGTCCACTATAAAAGAAATTTATAAACTTAATTACATTCATTAATACCTCTAGTTAAAAGGTGTGATATTTTAGTAAAGATAATATATATTTTTTTAAGTATCTTGTTTCCAATATTCTCTTGTTGAAATTTTCTTTTATTTGTACATATAATAAAAAGAAAGGTTTAATAGTTAAGCCGGCGTTCATTTGTTACTTTTAACCGCACAAGCTATCGCCACCGAGCTGTAACTCTTCCTAACAAATGATGTTTCCTTTGACGTAATTTGTAAAGGATTAGACCCAGAATAGAACAGAAACAATTGAATAAAAACGTACCATAAAACAATTCCTTTTTTATAAGCATTTCATAATTATTTATCTTATATATTAAAATGTTGTTAGTCTAGCTTTTAATGTTACAAGATTTTTTTAAATACATCATTCAATTTGCATATTTTTTTTAGTTTGCTATTGCATAATAATATTATATTTTATGTTCCAGAAAGGATAAACATAGTCAAAAGTTTGTGACCCTCCATTACTCTTTTGGTTATATCCGTCAATATGATAAAGTGCTTCTGTCCGATATTGCGGCCGGACAACTAAATTGATGTTACTTATTTATATAGCAGTTATATATATCCCAACTGTAAATAAATTGTATACTTAACACAATAACTTACTGATATATAAACACGGCTAAACACTCACGTATATACGTCCGGTGGCGGCACAGACTAGTTTCGAGCCCATCGGGGGCCCTTCATCAGGATGAGTGGTACTGGTTTATATATCAGTTTAGTATAATGTCGCACGAAAGTTTGAATAATTTAACAATAACTTACCTTCAAAATAAGTCGGTTTTTTCATCCTTAGCTGTATCAATCTTACTTCTTAATAACTTAGTTAATATTATAAATACGAATGTTTAGACGGAAGGATGTATGGATGTTTGTTTGAATGTACCTGCAGAACGGCTGAACGGATCTTGATAAAATTTGTCATACATATAGAATACAGTCTGAAAGAACACTTAGGCTACTAAGGTGTACTAATGTCCAGAAATTGACGGCGCTATGAAAAACTAGTAAAACAAAGTACTAAGTAAGACGTGCCTCTTCAGTCTTGAAGGTTGGCCGCTAACTTGGAATATTTGGTTCTGTCAAGCGCAAGGCGAAACAGTTCCTCTGCTGACCTAATCCCCGTTTACTCCCTAATATTACGTAGCCACGACTTCAACAACATAACACAACATAACTTAAGCTATATGAATCCTAATGATGATTACTGAGATGAGTACCAAATAGGATATAACTAAAGTCTTATTGGAAACGTTCCAGTGTAGCGTTAATGCGCCTAATAACTGTGACCGGCTTAGACGTTCCCGGCATCAATCTCTCGTAAACAAAGCTAATCCCGGCTAATGCGCTTATCTATTTTACTTTGTAAATCAACTTACCATAAATTCTCAACTCTCAGGGTCAAAATACTTAAGCTTATGGTAATTTGATGCTCTGATACTTTGCTATTTACATCTTTAACTTTGCTTTTGATATCAAAATTAATTAAATGGAACTTAATTGTAGAAATCTCGCGAGTTTAATTGGATAAGTTTTCAATGTGTGTCAAACAATTATTTTGTAACGATAAGTATCGTGTAATGACCGTACAAAATTAGGTCGATCGTAATTTACTGCAAAAATAAATTTACTTAAATAGCTACAGATCTCATTCATTGGTTTTTGTTCTACAAAACAAATGAAACAGCTGATAGCAGAAAACGACTTCAAATTCAATCTGATGTGTTCACAGTTGAGTTAAGGAAACTCTTCTTTCTTACTTTTTACTATCATTATAAATGCGAATGGATGGATGGATGGATGGATGGATGTTAGTTGGAATCTCCAGACCGGCTACATGGATCTCGCTGAAATTTATCATAGTTGTAAAACATAGCCTGAAAGAATACATAGGCTACTAATTAATTGTTTTTTTTTTTAATTCCGCGCGGACGGAGTCGTGGACAACAGCTAGTTAAAAATAATAATTAATAAGTAACAAAAAATGTACGTAGTGTTTTCATATCTTTTATAATTAAATATAACACACATAAAACATGCATAAAATGATGCATGTAAATGGAAAAATGCTTAACTTTGAAAACAAAATGTTATAAAAGATATCTGAAATTATTTTCTAGACACTATTTTAATTAAAGTTTTAATGTTACTAGTGTTGGAAACTGTTCAGTACAATTTATTTAACGCTGCCCGCAACAAAGCTCGGGAACAAAGAGCTTATTGTATTTGTAAAAGGGAAACTAGTTTTTACAATCAGTAAAATGTATATTTTTTAAATTTGTGAAGAAACACATTTGAATTTTACTAAAGTATACTTATATTTTTTAAATCGGAAATTCAATACTAAAAAAAATGATTGAATGCGATTACTACTTCTCCGGTTGATAACATTGCATAAAAATGTATCTCGTTACTAGCTGTCGCTCGCGACTCCGTCCGCGCGGTATTAAAATAGCTTAATTCTTGTAGACTATGTTCTACATCTATGCCAAATTTAAGCGATATTCATGTAGCCGTTCTAGAGATACATTCTAACAAACATCTCTTCATCCATCTAAACATTCGCATTTATAATATTAATAAGTTTAACAAAAAAATTACGCAATCATGTAATTAACGAATATTATTTCCACATGTACGGCTATAAATCTAACTATAATTAGGATATTACACAAGAAATATAGGAGGAAAGAAAATTGCTGAAAGATAATTAATAGTATTTAGAAAGATATTATGTTGAGGAAAAACCTTGTCGAAATCACAATCGAAATATTAAACAGAGTTACTTTTTTAATAATTTCCTAAAGTATAAAATAATTTTATCTTTCACAAGACAAAATATAAATTAATTTAAAGAACTTCCACTTAGGAAGCTCTTCCAAAACATATATTAAGAAGCCAATACACGATTCGATGTTGAGTTATGTAGCAAAGTTTCAATAAACGTGACCTGAAGTAACGCGTCTACTAACGTAGAATTAAACATTTGTATTCATGGGCACGTTTCATACGAGTGTTGTGTTATTATAAGTAAACAAAGATAAATGGAAACATCATCTAATGCTTAATATTTATATGTTTACATGAAATAGATAATTCTTACCTACATTTAATATAAGTTAATTTTGCAGTAACTGTCGCACGTGACTACGTTGGCGCGAAGTTAAAAAAATAGTAGCCAATGTGTTCTTCCCGACTGTGCCATCTATGCCAAATTTCAGGTATATGGAGTCGTTCTGGATATACATACCTTCAAACAAACATTTAAATATTCGCATTTATAATATTATCTTAAGTTATTTCAGAAAGTAATGAAAGTATTTATTTATGTTTTAGTAAAACATATCAAATGTTTTTGCTTTTATTTAATGCACTACCTCATTATCGTTTGTTATGAACGTGTTGAAGCGTTAGATAAATAATTGTAAAAAATTAACTAACCTTTTATATTATAGGTAAAACCATCTTTTTGTGCTTATAATAGAATAGAAATGAACGTGTCATGTTTATAAACACACAAATTATACCAGAGCCGTACTTAATAGTAGACGATGACAGCGCAAAGCTGATAAGACTGGTCGAAATACCCTTCGTATTGTGCTACGTGAGGCTCACCCATCCTTGCTGCCACTAAATAAATTATGTATTATCTATTAAACGTAAAGTTTAACATAGAGTTAATTTGATATTAGAATTTAAAAAGCAATATTGAATGTAATTTACTCATTATTGCTTAAAGATTGGATGAGTTTTAAATTGTGTATTCATGCATATTTTTACTCATTAAACGACTGTTTTTATTTATTTATTTAGTGTGTTAGTCAGTGGAACGACCGGTCGAACTTTTAGCCACCTATTAGTCGAATCGATCATAGTACGGCAAAACATATAAATAAGTAAGACATATCCAAGCGTTTTAATAATAAAAAATAATTATATCATTATGTGCTATACAGTTTCATTTAAGTTTCACGAAGTTTGTAATTGGTTGATCGCACCGGTTTTCGTCAGTAAACAGCAGATCTAATGAAGGATAATGTAAATTAGAATAAAAAAAAAAACTTAAAATATGTATGTAATCAGATTATTACTCTAATAAATAGTTAAATACATTGTTTAAGACTTGACCTTTCAGTATCGTAATCGACCCATCGGACCTTACCCGTAAGTCCCTTGAGAGCTTAGCAGTTCTGATGAAAATTTGTTAAAGCCGGCCTTTATTTTATATCACTACCTTTTTGTATATTATAATATCAAAGGTCTTAGTCTTTAGCCTTAGTTATTTAAAAGTGTTATGTATTGGGAGTAGTAAAACGATAGCTAGCTTAGCGCAGACTGTTTATTCAAGTAGCTGTCACACTAACGGCGGACTTCGCCGCTCGTTCGGAAACAAGCGCTGTGCAAGCGCATACACAACATCTCTCCCCCATATAGATGCGACATACATTTTACTTAAAATCTAAAGAATTGAAACACAATACACAATTATTATATACAGAAGCTTATGACTAACACAATTAAAAATAACGACTATAATACTCAATCAGACTGCCTAGGGCGCCTGACCCCCCGAGCTACCGTTACATTGGGATGGTTGATAGGCGGTGTGACTGGAGGCGAGCATGCCTCCTCACCTTCCCCCGCAGATAGGCCCCTATCACTGCTATCTTGTACGGCCCCTGGTTGTTCGGAGGATGTTGGCGATGTTGGAATACCATCAATTATCTCATCATCAACATCATCAACATCCGACATGTTTAAATTTGTTTTGGTATAGTCGGCTTTGCATAACCACAGTTGATTTTTGTGTTTTTTAAAAGTACTCAAAGTTGCATTATCTTGTATAACATACAATACTTTGCCCAGTCGCCGTAATACAGTACCTTTGTGCCATGTGAACTTATTATTACTACTAAACTTCTTATATAGAACACGTTCACCTGGAGAGAAGGAAGATGTATTTTTCCCACCATGGGCTACAATTTGCGACTGCTGCCTATCCTTTACCACATCGGCAAGGGCGCCGAACGAGGATGGCGGTGCTCTGGGATTAATTAAATCCAATCGCGACCTGAGTTTACGCCCGTACACCAGCTCAGCTGGGGAGAAACCTGTGGTGGAGTGAATCGAATTGCGATAGTCAAAGAGGAACTGGAGGAGACGTAACTTACATTCCTTCGCTGTACGACTAGACATGACGCTACTTTTAATGCCTTTTTTCACAACCTTTACGAAACTTTCCGCCTGTCCATTGCTAGCCGGGTGGTACGCCGGAGTTGTCAAATGGCTAATGCCGTTTCCTACGCAAAACCTCGAAAATTCTTGCGAGGCAAAGGAAGGTCCATTATCGCTCACTATCGTGTTCGGCAACCCATAACGCGCAATGTACTCGTATAACCGCTCGACTACTGCATTTGAAGTTGTGTTCGTGTTCATGTCGTACACTTCAACCCATTTGGTGTGCGAGTCTACGACGACCAAATACGACCGACCATTTAACGGCCCTAAGAAGTCGATGTGCACCCGGTAAAACGGCTGAGGAGGAAACTTCCACGGCGCCAGCTTCGTCCGCGGCGGTGACGGCCTCAGCTGGGAGCACACCTCGCACGACCCAATTAAATGTTCAATTGCGTCGTCGACGCCTGGAAACCAAAATCTCGACCTCGCTTCCGCTTTCGTTTTAACTATTCCTAAATGGGAAGTATGCAATTCGTCCATAACCTTTTTACGCAATGAACTTGGTATTATAACTTTATGGCCCCTCATTAAGCAACCGTTTTCTACCGAGAGCTGATTTCGGCACAAAAAGTACGGCTTCAACTTTAAATCGGCTATTTTATTTGGCCAGCCGTTTAGTACAAGATTTACGACGCGGGACAATACACTATCCTTGGATGTTTCGTGACGTAATTCGCTAACGGTCGTAGGCAACGTTCCGTCCACCACGAAACAAACATACGCGGCCCTGTCGCACAGCGCCGCGGCGGCGTCTGCGCACGACGCGCGCCCCGCCTCCTTGGTCCCCGCGCCGCGCTCCCCCGTCCCCGCCAAGCTCGCGCGGGACAGATAATCCGCGCTGTTATCGGCGCTGCGAACATATTCTATAACGTAATTATACGCACTTAAGAACATCGCGTACCGTTGCAGCCTATTTGCTGACACTTCCGGAATCCCCTTATGCGGACCGAAGATGGTGATCAATGGCTTGTGGTCGGTTCGTAAGACAAAAGGGTCCGATCGACCGTACAAGTATTGGTGAAACCGACGCACCCCGAATATGATCGCAGTCGCTTCTTTTTGTATTTGCGAGTACCTGTTCTCGGCGGGCGTGAGTGTGCGCGACGCGTATGAGACCGGCCGCTCCGCGCCGTCCGAACCCACTTGCGACAATATCGCCCCGAGACCGGTGGGGGACGCGTCGACCGTTAGAATAAGTTTGGCCCTTTGATCAAAATGAGCCAAAACCGAATCCGACGCTAGACACCTTTTAATAGAAGAGAAAGCGTCCGAGTGGATCTTTGTCCATTTCCATTTACTATTCTTTTTTAGTAACCTTTGATCAAAATGAGCCAAAACCGAATCCGACGCTAGACACCTTTTAATAGAAGAGAAAGCGTCCGAGTGGATCTTTGTCCATTTCCATTTACTATTCTTTTTTAGTAATTCATACAATGGACTTAACATCATTGATGCACCGGGTACAAAATTCCTGTAATAGTTTGCTAGCCCTAAAAACGATTGCAACTGACTCACATTACTCGGCCTAGGTGCGTTTATTATAGCTTTTACTTTTTCAGGCGATTTTTTAAGACCATTTTTGTTTATCACATAACCTAAATAATTAATTTCGTCTTTAAAAAATTCGCACTTGTCTTTTTGTAGTGTTAGCCCCGCTTCCTCGAGCCTCTGCAATACGGCACTAAGTCGAGTCAAGTGCTCCTCCCTATTACGGCCTGTAATCAATATATCATCGAGGAGACACAACACCCCGTCTAAGCCCGATAACACGGTCTCCATGGCGCGCTGGAATATCGCCGGGGCCGAGGACAGACCAAATACGAGCCGCGTGTACTGGTACAACCCCCGGTGCGTGTTAATGCATGTCAGCTTCTGCGACTCTTCGTCGAGACACAGCTGATTGTATGCGCTCGACAAGTCCAGCTTCGTAAACTGTTCGCCACCGTGAAGCTTCGAGAACAGCTCATTGACAGTCGGCAGGGGAAACTGCTCGACGATCAGCTGTTTGTTTATACTAACCGAGTAGTCGGCACATATTCTTACGGAGCCGTTCCTTTTTAGCACCGGCACGATGGGTGACGCATACTCTGAGTGGTCAACAGGTTTCAGGACACCGAGGTCGACTAACCTATTTAACTCGTCTGTAACCTTTTCCCTAAGTGCGAATGCAATGGGTCGCGCTTTAAAGAACGTCGGCTTCGAATTTTCTTTTAGAAATAATTTTATTTTATATTTATTAAAACAACCTAAATTATCAGAAAATGTTTTGGAAAAACGAGCTTGAAACTCTTCTAACGAGACCGACGACCCACAATATTTTACCGGCGCTAGTTCTAAGTTGAACTTCGAGATAAAATCCCTGCCGAGAAGTGCCGGGCCCCCGCCACGTACCACGTATACGTCTATAGCGCGGGTGACCCCACTGAACGTCAGTTGAGACGCACGCATAACACCTAAACAATGTATTCTTTGGCCCGTGTACCCCATTAACTTTTTATTCGACGGCGACAATGACACACGAAAGTGTCGTTTAAACGTAACCTCGGAAATAACCGTTACCGCGGACCCGCTGTCAATTTCAAATTGTAATGTGACCCCATTTAAAATAACACACTCCACCATAGGTTCCCCCATAAAAGATCGGATATGATACAACTCACCGCCATCGTCGTTCTCGCCCATCTCGCTCGTCACCGCTGACGTCACTGAGTTCAACTTCTTACACACGCGTCGGCGGTGACCCGTTTGTTTACATTTTTTGCACGTATGCTTAAAGAAACGACACTCTGGCGTCCTGTGGTTAAAATAGCCACACTCGGAACACTGCACTTTATCCGACCTTCCCTCGCTCACTTTTAGTACACATTTATTTGAATGTCCGATTTTACACAGCACTTCTGTAGGCGCGGTGACAACACCGGTCGCGGCGGCTGCGCAGGCGGCTCCCGCCCGCGCACATCTGATGTTCTCGGCTTGCTCCACCGCTCTTGCCAAGGTCAAGCCACTCAGATCCTCGGCAAAGATCTTCTCTTTCTCGAGCCCCGGCAGCATGCCCATGATGAACCGGTCGCGGAGAACTTCTTCTAGGCTGCTGAAGCTACAATTAGCTGTGAGCCCACGTAGACGAGCCGCCCATTGTGTAAACGACTCCGTAGGTTGTTGAACTGCCGCATAAAAGTTGTGCCGTTCGCCGAACCCTACGTGCTTCGGAGTGAAGTGAGCATCTAGGAGACCTAGAATATCTTCGTAGGGTACTTCCTGGAGCTCCTTGGGCAGCGCTAGGTCTGCTGCCAACTTGTACGTACCCTCAGTGAGCGCACTAAGCAGTATAGCTCGTCGTTTAACTCCCGTCGCATCGGTTAAATGGTTCACATCGTTCGCGATAAACCACTGCGTTATGCGATTTTTATACGTTTTCCACGTTTGTTCAGTGTGATTAAAGCACGATAAAACACCAAAATGCATAACAGACATTTTGGGTTTTATTTTTTTAAAAGTGGGTATTTCACGCACTCGTCGCCACTGTTATGTATTGGGAGTAGTAAAACGATAGCTAGCTTAGCGCAGACTGTTTATTCAAGTAGCTGTCACACTAACGGCGGACTTCGCCGCTCGTTCGGAAACAAGCGCTGTGCAAGCGCATACACAACAAAAAGCATATAAAATTGATTTGGCCATGTAGAGAGCTAAATCTAGTTTTAAAGAATACATCTGTTTCGTAGTAAAATCTAATAAATATAAAGAAGATTACATAAAATAAATGCAAAGAAATGTAAAAAATGTAAGCGATCTCATACAAGTGAACGAGTATATTCATGAATCCGTGTAATGTTATTACCATCGCCCCATTTGACGATATATTGGTTACGATCTTAACGGATTACCAGAAACTGCCCTCGCAATATTCTTTTCATGTAAATTTCAACAATTTTCCTAAAAGGTTTCTCTTGCTTGTGATTATTGTAAAAAGTAAACTTATATTCTTAACAAGCATATTCTAAAGAAATTCTTTAGTAAAAATATAAAATATAATTTTTTGATCTTTTTAATCTATAAATATGAAAATGTATAGACGCCAAAAATGGGATTCTTTGTAGCTTAACTAACTTCAAAAATTTACAGGATTTATAGATAGTTTCATACTGATCGTCATATAAAAATTAAAATGTGTGATTTTAAATTCAAACGTCTTTTTCTTTATCGTTGAGCTTTCATACAAATATTTTTTTAACTTTTAAGAGCTGAAAATTCTACCTTCGTTATAGCCTTACTTCAAACTCTACGACCATGAAATGAATACTACAATATTAGCATTTTGACTCGTAGCAAAGTTCTACTTACAACTGAATGTAACGCACAAGCGGTGTCGTAGCTCGTAGCAATGTTGTAGTACAATAATTAAAACGTCAAGCAACCTCTATTCAATGTAACGTCAAATATTTACCTGTACTTTTCTAGATTTTTTCTTTTAAAAGCTTAATCTTTTCCAGACCGTAAATTATTCTTCCAAAGCCTTCAGAAACGGTATCCTCGCACAGAAAAGTGATAAAGAATTACTTCTTCTTTTTCGAATTTGAGTTAAAGAATCGCTTCTTTAACTCAAATTAAAGTTAATTCACCCGACTTGAAACATCTACTGCAGTGAACAAATGTAACAATTACGTGTTGAGAATTAAAACTGAACGGAAATCTCTAAAGAAATTTATTTTAATGCGGATTTTAGTCACGTCTTGAACAGTCCGTAGCGGATGATAGCGTGGTGTTCTTAATGTAGTTTTTTATTACAATAATTTAATAATGTGTCTTAGGATTTGCTTATAGCTTAATACTTTTGCTTTGCTAACAGTAACTGTTAGGCTGACAGACTTGTGGTTAATATTTAAATTGGGGAATTAATATTCGTTTCATTGCTACGTCCTAGAACCTAAACGGCTTGACATATTTTAAAGAGTGAGATGTAATTTAGATTTGTATTTCCTAAAGTTACAAGGGGTACAATTCGTGTTACGTAATTTTTAATTTATCGGTAAATTGATGGATCGTAGCGGTAAATTAAATTTATTGCGGCATAAACTATAGTAACTCTCCACTTAATATCCGATAGATTCAGTTCTAAACCGGCTTATTGTAATGAGTTTTTGTTCGCCGGATCAATATCTAAAATTCTAAACTTATGTGTGCCTCAACTTTAGATAGGCCATGTACACTAAATAACAATCACTATGTTGACTTGTCAATTTGATCTTACAACCATATTATCTAAAAAAAAACTCCTTGCAGAGTTATTGGGTACTTTTTTTGTTTTTCAAATATTAGGAATTATATGCAAAACTAACATCTTTGTTATTTCTTAATTTCGTTGTAAGAATAGTAAATATTGCGGAGTATATTGTTAAAATATTTGCAAGCTTTTCTACTCGATTTATGCGAGTACATAAAACTAGGGAACCATTAGGTTACTTGTGTAAGTTGCGTAATGGTTCTACTAGTTTTATATAGGCTTTTAGTGCACGACAGAATCCATTATGGAAAGCACCACATTAAGATCATATACTAACAAACTTTGCTGGCTCTTTATGTCAGTGTAAATTGTTTTTTTAGAAGAAAGGCAAGTTAACAAGTGACCACTACCCATAGGATAGAGGTCTGGTGAGGTTATTTATATTCGGGTGACTAGATGTTCTTTTTTTTCTACAAAAAAAAAGTGTTTAAATTTTTCTCAATGAATATCTATAGCACTAATTACTTTGGCTGAGCCAGCACTAAGAAGATTTGTTAAACATAACGTTGTAGATGATCTAACTGTATTAACTAATAGACAAAAAATACACCGAATTCCATACCTATAGTCTCACAAACTCTTGATTTGGGGCAATTTTAAGCAATTATACTTTATCACCCTCTTTAAATTAATGAACGCCAGTCCCGAAAGAAGGTTTAACTACATTTTTATGGCTTATAAATGAACGAAAAAAGCAAAGACAACCAGATTTTAGACTCATTAAATAATAATTTAATAAACACCGATAAAAATAAAATTTCTGTAACGTTTAAAACTAACCAAATTAAAAGTAAACTATTCTTTTTTATACTTTTAATAATCTTGTATCTTTTTATTTATTTTCATTTAAGAAAATCACCCAAGTTACAAATTCCAATTTAATGAACCACTGAGGGACGACTTGATATTGTTGACGTGTGATAAATACAACACACGACATATAATTGGGACCCCAGAATTCGTAATCGGATCTCCTATTTCATACTTTGCACGTGTAAGATGTTTAGAACGGTTTAAATAATAAACGTTTGTTTGTGACGAAATTGAATCTACATATACAAATTGTTTATACGGTCCTTTAACTCCTCGGTTGTTTGGTCGCGATGGTTAAAATTATTTGCGATTAGTTTGAATTGAAATTCGTTAATACAAAGTTATTATTCTAGAAATATTTTGATTAATTAACGTTAGTTTAATATTAATATTGTTGTATTCGTGTACCTTAGTTGATTTAAGGTTAACGGGCATTGCTCCACTCCTCGTCCACCCACCATCACCAAGCCTCGCGATCGCCGCAGCGTTGACTCGCCGCAGTCGCTGCTTCGCCGCGTCGATGCCACGATTGAACGGGATAAAGATATAACATTGCGATACGTTATCTTTACTTCGTGGATGGCGCGACGTCCTCTCGCGACACGACAGCTGGGTTGATGGCGAGTGGAAATCTGGGGGTAAAAGGTGACCCTTCATTTCAAATCCACTGTAATAAATTCATATGAACATATAATGAACACATCGGACTATTTGAATTTCCAACTAGATTTGGGAGCAACTTCAAAGCTACAAATCAGCTTATGTCATACTTAATTCGTATAAAGTTTCCAACTGTTGTAATTTACTGTGTATTTGCGGGACTTCGCTATTCTCGAGATATAGACACTAACAATTTAATATAAAACTAGTTGTAAACTAGCTGCCCTGCGGTTTAGTCACCTCAAAATATTGTTGAGTCTGATCGAAGCCTGATATTAAATACCTACCTAACTAAATTATTGGTCCGTCAAATGTAAAAATATATTTTCAAATCCAAAATATTCGTACAAAACTCCTTAACTTAGCAATATTAAAACAAATGTGTTGTTCGTTTGGTTTACGATATGGGTTACAGTCCCTGACAGTTCGCTGCTTGGAAATGACAGCTTTTGTTCAGTTCCGGCTTAAAAGCGCTGGTCAACTTTACTAATACTTAATTCTCACTGTGATTAGTTGAAATCCTCGCCGTTACCGTTGGCGCCAAATTGAAGAGAATCAAATAAATAGGCACAGAATACCACGGCTTATTATTACAAAAGTTCTTTGTTTCATATAAAAAATATTGCTATTATATTTTAAAAGGATCTTTAATTCAAATTGGAATATAATCTGAAATAGAATTTGTGATTTTAATCCCCTATTCCTAATTCATATTTGAGGCTGACAAAATATCAATGCACCATTCCCTCAGGAATAAACCCTTCTGCTCTAAAGCGATATAGTTATAAGTAAATGTAAGTATTTTTTTGGAAAATAATTTTTTTAAACATATTTTGAATTTAAATCAACGATGATCGCAGCGATATTTATTATCAAATGTAAAGAGATTTTAAACATATTAAAAGAAGAGAATTTTGTAATATTTAATTCAATATAGTTAATAATTTTCTGCGTCAAAATGATACGATGGTTTTGCAAAAATTCTATGCAACATTGTTATTCCACTTTTACGAAGAACAAACATTTTGAAACAGTCTTGGCGTAAAAAATTTATGTTTCACACGAGAATTAAACTTCCAGCAAACAAGATTTAGAGTCCCGTAACAATAAAATCGAATTCGATTCACGATAGACTTTCCTGTTTATGTTTTGAAATATTTAACAAATAAAAATCAGCCGAAATACATGATCATTGTAATCAAACTATTTAATTTATAAGTGCCGTTTTTATATCTCATATTTTTGAGAAGTAAATAAAAAATCTTATCTCTCTTACTAATATAAAAACACGAATGTTTATGTATGCTTGTTTGTAGGTGTATTTCCATAACAGCAGCACGGATCTCGCTGAAATTTTGCATAAATGTAGAATATAGTCTGGAAGAAAACATAGGCTACTTATTAAGTTTTTTTTAAATTCTGCGCGGACTAAGTTGCGGACGACAGCTAGTATTAAAATAAAATACAGACGGAATATGTTACCATAGAGTTTGACAGTAACAGTTTTGGTGAAGATAAAATGAGTTTGTTTCATTTTTGGTAATTTACTTTAAGCATACTAATAAAACGTAATGAATTCTCAACCAAAGACACGAAGTCCTAAATAAATAACCGGTCTTTTGTAAATTAACATGCAAATAAAATTAAAATCTCGGTCAAAAGTAAACATTCGACCTTGTTAGCGAAAGTTGAAAAGTTTATTTCTTAAATAAACATTGTTTAAAAGTCACAGTAAAAGGTAACAACTTTTCCTACTTCATGCTGCAGTAAAATTTTGACATACAAATGAAAACAGACCTAGCACAAATATTAGTGAGAACTTTTCGCAACTTGATCGACCGGGCATAAATAACACGACCAAACCTCATACAAATTTTGACACTTTCGGTGA